AGTTTTGATGCAAAAACGCATGATCGCACCGGCTCGCCTGGTGCGTTCCAGCCTTTGTTTATTAAAACCATAACCATCAAAACCAAATTTTTATCAAAAACTTTGCTCATGTTGACATTGTTATTCCAGTCGAACCTCCCCTCCTCCCCACCCCTGGCACCCCCTTCGCATCCTCTCCTGTGGCTCGGAAAACGAATCGTCGCAGATCAAACCACCATATGTTTATGTGCCTTGTTTTGTTTTTATTACTTTTCTTTTTCGCCATACTTAGTGGGAAAAATGTCTTGCTAACTTGTACACCTTATATATATATATATATATATATATATATATAGTGGGTGCTTCACTGAGAAGTGAAATCGACAAAATTAGTTGTCTTCCCAAATTGGAGCATTTAGGAAACTTATCACGTGTTCTTAATTCGGGCAGTAAGACATTCTCATAGTTTTTTCTGTATTTGTCCCGTGTTTTGATGATACTCCTTGCTTTCAAAGACAACTCTTGCAAACCGAATTAGTTGGTACTGGCACCACTGCCGACCGAAGTGTGTGCAGTGTAAGAATGCAAATGTATTCGGCGAGGACGTTAACTGAAAAATGCGCGAGCGGTGGTGCGTGATACCCTACCAGCCCGCGGCTCGTCACTTATTTCATTGAATTTAATGATCGAAATGTTGTTTTGTGGTTTGCGATAAATTTGTACCGATATCGCGTACATGAAGGGGATCATCGTGAGAGCATTACGAGTGGAAGATGATGTCACTTTTGTCTGGTCAACTCTCTGTCTGACGAGTTGGATTACTGCGATACGATAATGGGTCAAGGAACCTATGTCCTAAAAATTAGCCAACGTCAGCTGCTCGCTTTGACGATATGTTCCATAAAGTTTCTGTATTCGTTGAAATTTTCATCTTTTGTATAGTCTTTGCAACTTTCACAACTTTCGTGATGAATCATATGTAGCCTTTGCTAGCAGTAAAATGTATGAAGTTCGCTATCGATATTAAATCACTTTATCAACAGGTTGTTTTTCAATGAAAGTCTTTTTATCGCACTGGTAAAATATGCATGCTGTGAAATAATAATGATCAGTTCTGAATAAAAATGGAGTTAAATACGAGGAGAATTCCTTGCTATGACTTCATTTGGAAGCAAAATCGTAATCACTGAAGATATCCAAAACATCACGAAACTTGAGGAGAAATATCGCAAGGCAAAAAACACTGAGAAATTGTGAGCACCCGGCCTTATTTTCTTCAGTCCACGGATCTCAAGGGTGTAACTGTACTTTGTGCAAAACTTACAGAAGCTTTTGGAATGACATTACATATATTCAAATTTTAAATGCAGGCTGCTCAGTAATAGTAATAGTAGTAGTACTCATAATAGTCGGGATAAAAGACCTGGGGATCGAATTCCTTCTTCGGCTTACCAATTTCTGTGTCCCTCTGTTTGTCCACTGGCTTCCCAACTGCATCGCGTTGTCCCTTTCGCTGTCGTCGTCTGTAGCCACGTCTTCCACCGCGTCTTCGCTTTCCTTTTCTTCGCCGCGGATCTGTAGCAAATGATTGTATCGGCTTTAATAGCTAAAAATTACTTCCACTTAGCGATGAGGCGTCGATGTGGAGATTTTATGCCGAAAAACAATTATTGCGGTGCATAAATTTGAATTCGGTGTGGGTTAACTCCTCTATCACAGTAAGAAGGATATGAGTGTTACCATGCAGGATGTCCACTTCGATGCTCTCTTGGACAACTTGGACGCTGCCGGCTTGCAGCCTGGCTTGGATTTCCTCGCTGCTTCCTTCGTCGTCGATACCAACATCTCCTATGCCAGCGACTGCAGTGCCATTCGAAGTCGAGCCAAGCTGATCAGTAGTACCGTTTCCATTGACTCCAAGAAGAATGGCTAAATCAGGGTCGCTGGTATCGTTGAGGTTTTCATTAAATTTTGATGGTACTGGCCCTGTGCCATTCCACGCGAACGCTAAGCCATCAGTATCGTTCTGAGCGGTACTGAATGCAGACGAGGTCTGTTGAGCTTGTTTTTGCGCTGCGCATTTGCCATTCTTGAGAACAAACGGTTTACAGCATGGTTCCTCTTCATCGCACGGCGCCATATTGCAGTGACGCACGTGCACCACGTGAGTACTGTTCCTGAAAGGAAAACTTTAATTAGAGGCATTTGATCGGATGCTTCTATATCAGTTTGACATCTTTCTTCATCTGCACCTCGTGAACAAACGCAACAAATTGAATTGCTGGCCCTGTGCCAATTCGAAAGCCGAATAGCCGAAAAAGTTAAGATGTTTACTGTCCATGTGATGAGCCCGTAAGCGTAACCTGAGCTTTCACATTCCTCCGATCTCGCGCACGGAACATGGAATTTGAAGCTTACAATTTTGCGATCTCGCAAATAATACGGCTAAAATACTAAAATTTCGTGACTACATTCCAAAAACATGTCTGGTCATGCAAATCCAAGATTGTGTAAGCGTAAATGAAGTGAAAAAAAATTTTCTTGCGTCTGTTTTGCATTAAACGGATGCCAGAAGAGGAATTTGATGCCAAAAATTTTATAATTCTGCATTCAAACTAATTGGAAAATATGGCTTTGACATCGTACAAGTATTTTTAAAATTCCGCGCATCCTCTACAGCCCACATGTAAACACGCGGAAACTGACGTTGACAATTATTTGACTCCGCAAACAAAGTAACGCTAAAATTTTTTAAGCTGGCACCGGATAAACTGGAAAGCTAAAATTCTGTGAGCTTGATCTGCGAAAATTTGCGAGTAAGCATTCGTAAAATCAGCTTCCAAATCTCCCTATATTCATGTGCGGTTACGTGAAAGTTGACACCGGCAGTTCTGCAGTTCGTTTGTAAAAAGCATGTGGTTGCGCAGGTTGCTTGACACACGCTGCAAAATTACTGGCATTGGGTTTTATCTGGAGTGTATAAAATGCAGGATCCCTCTAACAAGGAGAGGGGGGAGGGGGAATTTTTTTATTGCAGTGCATGAAATTCTGAAAGTTGGTTTGAAACAGGGTAGAGACTTGTGCTATCATTTTTTTTTTAAACAATACGCACGGCAATGATGTTGAGCGATTTTGTACGCCGCATCCGCCGCACTCATCCGTGCATACTGTCCATGGCGACCAATCTTCTGAAAGTACCATCCTGTGCTTTGCATATTTATCCGATTTTGCAGATAACTGATGCACAATTAAATCAGAAAAATAGTTAAATCAGAAAATAACTCAGGTAATCGGATCGATCTCATCAGGAAAAGAACACAAGAAAGTTGATGCTCCAAAGTCACCATTTTTCCAAAGAAAGTTGGTGCTCCAAAGTCACCAGTTTTTTATAAATTGCGCGAAAGTTACGAAAATCTGCTTATTTATCAATGGAACCAGTTACTCTATCAGTCAAAGATTACAAAGAGTGATGAGCGATTTAGTAGAATTAACAATATTCGTGAGCCAAAGTTCAGTTTTTAAGCCGTAATCACTTTGTTCACTTCGCTGACTGCCGAATGAGCAGTTCAAGCTGAATATCCACACCAAGCAACCCCTCCGTAAGTAGTCAGTGCTAATTATAACCCAGGCTGGAACGCATCGGGTGGGCCCGTGCGATCATGCTTTTTTGCACGGACTTGAATTACTCAGGTCATTAACTGTACGAATGGCTGTTGCTTTACACTTACCTGTTGCGGTCACTAGCATAAATCATCATAAATTTTACAAAGTAAATGTACAATTTCCATTTAACCGTCGTTCTTTAAAAGTAACCTAGTTGTTCAGTGACAAATTTTTTCGTCAAGACTTTAAGTGCCCGTACGTAAGAGCCACGCATACCTGAAGGCTGAACTTTAAATACTTAAGTTGTACTTGGGCTGGGAACACTCCCTCAAAATTTCAGCTTTCCAGCTTTTCTGGTTACCGAGTTAGCAGTTTTCCCGCT